AGAGAGAGAGAGAGAGAGAGAGAGAGAGAGAGAGAGAGAGAGAGAGAGAGAGAGAGAGAGAGAGAGAGAGAGAGAGAGAGAGAGAGAAACACCCATGGCTTTGTGTGTGTGTGAAAAAGGACAGCGAGAGAAATTAGAGGAATGAGAATAATAGGAGACAGTTGCAGGGCAGGTTTTGTCACATTTACAGGATGGTGTTCCTCTTCCTGTAATTGAATGCACCAACATGTGATAAGCTATGAATTACTACCCCAGCCTCCTCTTTTCCTCATCTCCCTTCTTCTCATGTTTCTGGACTATGGCACAACATTTCATGAACAGTATTCCCCCCACTTTCCTTGTTTCCATTTTTCCTCCTCTTGCTCTCCTTCTCTTTGTCCGGTTGTCGAAGTTGTCTCCATGTGGTTTGCTTGTTTAGGGGTTATGGCTTAGGGTCTGGTCATCCTTCTCATGAAAAAATGGGCCATCCTTCTCATGAAAAAATGCACAGGTTGGAAAGAACAGCTGACAGGGCCTCGGCGTCACATGCTGTTTGGAGGGTCATAGGTCTTCAGTGCAGCATTTGCAGAGAACTTACCTGGCTGTTGTCAAAACTGGTTGAAAACCACGGTTGTCGTGAACCAGTGTTTCACAGGCCTTCTGCCATGCCTAGTCTCAAGTTGCCCAGGTTCAAGTTTTGAGGTTGAGATGGCAGCGGAATACCAGCCATGGGAGAAAAATAAAGAATAAAAAAAATCAGAAGAATAACAGAACAGGCTTTGCCTCACTTCAATCACTTGTAGGAATTATGTTGGAGTGTTGGAGCCCATTTTCCTGTTTTGCACCACAAGCACCTTGTAATTTTTTTTTATTTTTTTTTTTGAGACAGGTCCTTATGGTCCTGGCTCCATATCCATTCTCGGTAGCGCCAGTCCGGTTCCTTTCCACCGGCAAGCGCCAGTCCGGTTCCTTTCCACCGGCAAGTCGACGATTGAAATACATGGTGAACACTCTCACGCTTCCTTCAGTCTGACCGAAGGAACCCTGACCAGCATTGATTCCTCCAGAACTGGAGGATTGAATGTCAGCTTGGCCTACCACTTTTCCTCTCAGAATCTACTGTGACTCTGTCAGATGATTCGTGTAAGGCAAGAGAAGAGGAGAGTCGTCTATATTGTTGAGATTGTAATCTCAGTTTGCCCATCACTGGGTCATCACCCTTGCTGGATTTGCACTGTGCCGTTTCTTCCAAATCAATCTCTTATCTGCCACGGTGCAATCTTTCCCTGTAGAAGCCATTTGCTCACGAAAGACCGTCTCTTGATGGCTAATCTTTCTGGTCTGACTTCCGTTGTTGATGTCACCTCCCTCCGTCTGGATCGAATCTCAGTTTCCGTCATTCCCAGCAGTAGAGTCCACATTTCTTCCTTTGCCACCTTGGTACCCTCGATAGTCTCGGTGCACCTCCTTTTCCAGATATACCCATAGAGCCAGCTTCCTGAGCAGGTGAAACCAGACTTCCTTGCCACCTTTGAGATCGTTAGTATCGTTGGATAGGAGCAGGATGTTCAGAGGAGTTGTGGATGGAGGGGGTGATGAGAAGAGGAGGGACCATAGGTCGTGCACCTTGTTCCATAACCATGCCGCTTTAGTGCAATACAGGAGGCAGTGGGGTATATCTTCGGGGATGTTGTCCGTGCACAACCTGCATAATTCGGAGCTGTTAGGATCTGTATATTTTCTCCCCTTGTGAAGCCATTGGTTGACCGGTAGAGATGCATGCGCTACAAGCCACTGCATGCCTCGGATCCTAACCGGTCTAATAGACAGGTACTTCATCCAAGTGATGAAAATGGGGTCCGTGGGGTCTAGATTCAGGATCTCTCTCCATTTTCCTTTGAGTCTGGGGCTCGGATCTGTGGTCTGTAAACCCAAGTCATAACCAAATTTAACATCATATTCAAATATCGTCCTCGTTCTCCCGGACTTACCCTGCTTCCAGACCCACTCTTTCGGGTCGAATTTGAGGTCTGAAATGCTGAGGTCTGGTTGGAAGATTTTCCAGGGCTTGGCCTTTGAGACCCTCACTTTTCTCAGTCGGAAGGCTGCTAGTATGTCGCACTGGGGTTCTTTGTTCAGGATTTCCAGCTCTTGTAGGCTGTGATTAGCGATGGGGTATGAGTAGAATTTGGATAAGTAGCTGAGTGGATCAATTCGAGAGACAAACCGATATGCTCTGGTAGGCTCTGGTAGGCTGGGTTTGGGAGACGAGAAATAATCTATTTCAATTTTCAACACAGGATCAATTCTCTAGGCCCAGCATGCAAAAGGCCTCTACTCTCTACCTATACCTTTTGTCTCTTTGTCAGACGTTGGTGCCATACACAGTGCTGAGTCCAACTGTAAATGTCTGCAACAGTGTCCTTTGGAGACAGGTTATTGATCTGTGCCCTCGTGGATTGGTTTTCCCACTGCACACAGATTGCGGGTCACACAGATTGTGCAGTACGAATTCTAAAATTCGGTTCCTTGTGTATTGGCAGGTGCTGGAGGCACTGTGCGACCACCATTTCAATTTTCACTGTGCTCTTTTAGGAATGCACGTACGGTCAGCGCTTGCAGCAGTTGTGTATCATAAGGTGAGTCTGGATCCAGTAAGAAAGAGACTAACCTGGCCTATGTGATGTACTTGGAATCCCAGCCATCCCTTCATTTGCGTTTTACAGCTGTGATGCAGGCCCCAATCAGGCCTTAGAACACCGGTGATGTAAGGAATGCTATCTTGTGGGTGCTGTGTTGGTCCCTAAATTTTTGTACAGCGGGCCTGACGGCAGGTAGCCCAGGGGAATTAGGGTTTAGGGTTTAGGGGATCACAAAGACACCAGGTCACAGGGAGGTGGCTGTGGGGGTCTGGACGTCCATCTGGACTGGATTTTCAACCCCTTGAGGTATCCCGTGGGACCAGGGCTGTATGGCATTGGTATCGGCACAGGTGGCACAAGCGGCCCTTGGCCCCCTCCCCACCGAAGGGGAAGTGGGTACAGGTTGGAGACTTAGAAGTATGAGGCCAGCTTAGGCAGGGGCAAGGAGTGGGATATCCTTTCCAAGGGAAGTAGTCAATGTCGTCCATTTGGACCTCCCAGCCATAATGGGAAGGGGTGTTGCGGGAGTATGTTCTGTATCATTTTGACTTGCCAGTGGGAAAAGAACGGGACTGCTGCTCCCCAGAATAGGAGCCTTGTTAAAAAAAAAAAAAAAAAAAAAAAAAAAAAAAAAAAAAAAAAAAAAAAAAAAAAAAAAAAAGAGAGAGAACCCAGAACGGGACTGCTGCTCCCCAGAATAGGAGCCTTGTTAAAAAAAAGGAAAAAAAAGAAAAAGAGAGAACCCAGTGTTTCATACGTGGTACGTGGGAAGGAGCACCACGTCATCCCCTACTGCCCCCAGTGGCAGCAGCCGCCACACCAACACCAGCCAGCAAAAGAGGGGAGCTAGTAGAACTAGGGCTGTGAGTAATCCATGCATAAAGGATTCATCCCGTTCCCACTTGCAGGCCATGGCAGAGGCTGACTCCGGCATGGTATGGAGCATCAAGTACATCCATGAATGTCAAGTTTGTCATGGCTCCTCTCGGGCTGCTTAGACCATTGCCGGTTCCATCAGTGCCTGGAGACCAGTCGTCATCAACTTCATGTATTTAGTAAGTTCGCAGAATTTGTACCATTACCCGCAGGATCGAAGTGAGAATTTGTTATCTGCGAGTTTTTCAACCATTGTGTATGGACAGCGATAGAGATGTCAGATTTACAAGGGAGCAGTGGCAAGAGTTAGTGAAGTTGTATGGGTCTCACTTAACCATGTCCTTAGATTTCCACCCCAAGACCGAGCAGATGAACAACTGCTGCAGCAAACCCTCCGCATGTATATTTGACAGGGTCAGGTAGATTGGGATTAAAACTTACATTGAGTTGCTAGTTCGTATAATAACTCTGTGCACCTTTCCATGGATATGACACTGAACCAACTGCACATGGTTGGCAGCCATGATGTCCTATTGACTGCCTTAACGCTGATCAGGCATAACGGCAAACAAACATAGAAGACCATCAAAATTGGCTCTAGTTGATCTAGGCTAGGTCAGTCCGAAGAATTTGTGCCTGACGATGGGATTTCTCTGAAACTGTTGCCTGCATATAGAGTACCGTGGGAGAGCTGATGGTCCGTCCTATACTGTTGATGTACATCCACGTTAATGTCCTTACCCGGTCTTCCATGTCTTAAAATTGCTGCCTGTTGGCTCCAGGAAGTCATTCTCAAGACAATCAATGATACCCCCGGACATGGATGGAAGTTATGACATTGACCACCGGATAGCCGACCGTGACACATTCAGAACCAGACGAACGGGAAGGCCTCAGAAACAGTTCAGACTTAGATGGCAGTATCAGGACCCAAAGGAGTACAGATGATTCCCAAAAGATCAGCTAACTGAGACTGCACCTAAGGCTGTATCACATTATGCACAAGCTTTCAGGGGAATCAGACCTACGGACAGGTAAAATTCCTAACTTTCTTGGAGGACCTTAATTTTGACTGCAGGGAGTGAAACGATTCATGAATCTCAGTGTCCTTGGTCCAAGTTTCCCACTGTACCATGGTCCCATTCGGTAGGCCTGTGCAATTTAGGCACAATGTTGGAATTCAGGGTGTATCGCAAATTGGTAACATGTTAGGTCCCCACAGTCCCTAGGCCTTACAGTTTAGGCCCCGATGGAAAAATTCCCTGCCTATTGGAAATTGAATGTGCTGCAAGCACAAGAGTTCCTACGCATGTTTGACAGGGACTGAGAAAATAATTGGTCTGAATTTGGTTTACCAGCCCTCTACTTTTGGGGGCTGCGGGACGCACCGTGCACTGCCCTGGACCGCAGCCAGGTTTTTCTCCCACTCTGGCCTTTGTCCAGTACCAGCCTGGGCCAGTTGCTCAGTCCAGGTTTTGCAGACATGTTGCATGGTTGTTTACAATGCTGAAATCTGATAATGTGGGCCCCGAACACATTCTTTTTGGGGTCTGCAGTAGTAGAATGCCCTCACAGGCCCCGTGGAGTGATGAACCTTTACAATGAACTGTATTATACTTTATGGAGTCGTCACTGTATATGATGAAAAGCTCATTACATGGCTGCAGGTTAGTGATTTCCGCTGTGGAGGAAGTACTTTGAGCTTCCTTTTAAGTTTGTGCTCAATTGGGTGCCCAGAGGTCATGTTGGGCAGCCTCATTGATGGGAGGGTATCAATGAGGGAATTCCGGTGTATTCTTCGGGGACTCCGGAGACTCCATTGGTTGTGGCCTGCACGTGTACACGTTCTTCACTGCAGGCTGCTGCTCCTCTTCGCCATCCTTCTCATCCACCTCATGGTGCACCACTTCCTCCTCTTCTCTTTGTTCCATCTTCTCACCCTCTTCTTGCTGCTCCATCTCCTCCTCCTCTACTTGCTCCCCCATCTCCTCCTCCTCTTCTTGCCGCTTCATCTCCGCCTCTTCTTGCTGGTCCATCTCCTCCATCTCTTTGTGCTGCTCCATGAAGTCCACCTTTTTTGGCTGCACCACGTCCTCACCCTCTTCTTGCTGCGCCACATTCTGCCCCTTGACAACCACTTCACGTTGCTTTTCCTCCTCTTCTCCCTCTTGTACACCCTCCGATGGCCAACGTATCTACTGCTTGCCTCTCTGAATCTCCCTGCAGGTTGGGATAGCTCTGTGCCGGCCCTCCTCCATCATACGCTTGCGGACATTGTTTCAGTCCCGGTCAGCCAATGCCTTTGCACGGTTGGCCGCCCCCTCATCTTCATCAACCAGATCTCTCTGCGGCTGCAACGCAATGTCTGTGTTCGTATGCGGTACATCGATGTCAAACTAACATGTTGCGAAGCTCTCTTCTCTATGGCCTGTTTTGACGTCGCAGGCGTCTCCTCTTTATGACGCCGGGAAGCTGGTCTCCTACCAACATATGTTGTGCCCAGACCTTGACATGGAGCGCCGGATCAGAATCATGTTCGTCATCCTCCTCAGCTTAGCTTTACTCATCCGACAGCGACACTTCCCCTGCCACAATTCATCATCCAAATCGCTCGTATGTGAACTCTTCCTCTTCGTCCTCGAGTTTCCTTCCCTTTGGTGTCTTCAAAACTCCTTTGCCGCACCAGCTCCTTCTCTGTCTTCTCAGTCTCCTCCTCTGGGCCATTCAAGAGTGATCCGTAGTTCGGCTCTGGAATGGACTCAAAGAACAACCCCCATAGATCAACATAGCCCTCTTCCTTGTCTTTCCCAACACGCAACAATTGCATGTTCCACTGAATGTAGACGAGCTTCTCCAACGTCTTGGACTTCAAGTTGTTCCTCCTTCAGGGTGCACAAAGTCCATGGAAGACCAATTCCTCTCAGCCGAGGTGGCGGTGCTCCACATGCCCATAACTTTGATGGCAATGAGCTGCAACTCGGGGACATCGCCACCATAAGTCAACCACCACGCTGATGGCGAGAGCTTCTTGCAATCAGCCTTCGCATTGGGCTCTCACATATTCTTGTTTTTCCTCTTAGGTCCGTTCCTCGTGGGCTCCTTGTGGAACTCGTGCAGGTCACCCCAAATTTCAACATGGTATGGCCCTTTCCAAGCACCTCCAATTTGTCTCATAAGGAAAAGCGTCACATTCTGCACAAGTGCACTGTCCCAGTATCGCTACTCTCTGCTCTCATCCGCTGCTCGAACGCACAAGACTGTAACAGTGTTTCCGCATCAAGCATGAATCCCGATTGTCGTTGATGTTTGGCCCTGGTGGACTTGCTGCTGCCTTTGGTCCAGGGCTCCGATGTTCAGACCCACTGCTTGTGGCCACTGTCGGCCTATGACAACCGGAACATTTCGGACGTCTGGATTGAGCTGCAGACAGACAGACACACATCACACGAGCTACTACGGACTGCGCGGACCTAACGTGTTACCAATTTGGCGTACGGCCTGAATTCCAACAGTGAAAGGCGCCCGGCACCATAGAGAGAGAGAGAGAGAGAGAGAGAGAGAGAGGAACGAACAAGGCCTGTGTGAGTTAGGAGTTCCAAGAAGACAGTTCACTCATGTTGATTGCCGATATTGTTTTGGAGTCATATCTCATGTGTGCTTCATGTGTGACCGATGTTGTGTGATGTTTGTGTGCAAGTGTGCAATGCATGCTGGTATAAACTCAATAATGTGAATATGCCCCAAGTTGCTTAGGCTCTAAGCATGACTGCTATCACACAAGAGCTGTGCACTAAGTATTTGCTTTGTAACTGTATAAATGGTGCAGCCAGGACACAGCATCGACACTCTACTTTACCTTGTCACACAGAGTTCGCTTACAGCGAAGAACCATGTGCAATATCACTATCTTGCAAGTGGTTTCAGTAGATGAACAGTTGAAGATCGCATGTTATCAATCATGACATGCATCATGAGTGAGCAGTGGTAACACTCCGCTCATGGTCGATTTCTCATTGCTTGGACTGGAGTAATGTCACAATCTGCTTTATGCCATGCTATGGTACCCGCATCGAAGGTAGGCACAATCCACAACGCAGTGCAATGCAGTTGCTTCAAAACACAGCGATATACAAGCAGGACTCAGAAACCTTTAGTATAAGGGGGGGAAGGCAGGGTGCACGTCACCCCAAACCTGATGACTGAAGCCTGCCCTCGCAACAAATGGCAGGTTTGGCAGGGAGGGAGTGAAAGTAATGGCGGCTTAACAGTTAAATACTGTCAAATCTCAACTCCTTTCACGATCCATCCTTTTCCATTTTCCATGTATGCTGAGAATTCCCTTTCTCTTCTTTTCTCTTAACTGCCCATCTGATATGCCTCTTCACATTGTGCTTTTTGCAGGGCCTCCGGCTCTCTAATGTCTCACGTCAGAGCTACACTATTGGAGAACTTGTAAACTACATGTAAGTTCATAGGGACATCTGTGTGTTATCTGAGATCGTAACTGTTTGCATGATGTGGATCAAGTGTTAAGGTGGAGCATCACAATTATGGACGATTCGAGACCATACACCAATACACCAGATGAGCTAGAGAATGTTCAAAGAAGATCACAATGCAGAATCTTCCTCCTCTTGGTTTGATCTCTCTGTGGGTTTCTTAGCTACTCTTTAGGTGCTTTTGCTGCTCACCATGGTTATCCATTCTGACACTGCATCGCAGTTTTATGATTTTATCATTCCTTGAAGATTCCGCGGCTCTCTCTTGCCTCAGTGTTTGCAGCATATATCTGCCTTTGTCAAGCCTTTTGAAGTGATCCAAGCCAACTCTCTGTTCACCGGTTTTCCATCAATGTCTTTCTCCATTTCTTTTTCCAGCATACCAAGTCCGAGCTTGCAAACCTTCATGGAAACTTGTTCTCAAATGTTTTCAGGGAGGTGGAAGTTTTGGGAGTAAAGAATCTAGGAGGGGTGAAAAGGGATGGGAAAAGTGGGTGGGTTGAGCCATAGTGGCTTTGCGTTATAGGCAGTGGAGTATGACTGAACTAGATTTCTGTGATGTAGTCTTTGCACCTCATCCGCTCCTACACCTATTAGAGTCTGCTTTGTCCTTCTTTCCATAGAACTAGTGATTCGCTGGGATGGCTGAGTATGTCATCAACCAATATCGACTCCTTATTCTTGTCTCTCTTAAACTCTGGCGTTTCAGACCTACATCAGAGTTGCAGCGCAGAAAGTAACTTTAATATCGTGAAGAGAGAGAGAGAGAGAGGTATAAAAGAAGTGCATGCCAACAAATGGGCACATGCACATAGCGGAAAACTGATAAACACATTTCTTTCTCTTTCCCTTGTTTTTTTTTTTTTTACAATAAAACAGGTCCTTATGGCCCTGGCTCCAGTTCCATTCTGGGGAGCATCAGTCCGGTTCCTATTCCACCGGCAAGTCAGAATAAAAGATTACATCATAGAACACACTCACGCTTCCGTCCGTCCGGCCGAAGGAACCCTGACCAGCATTGATTACTCCAGCATCGTGGAGGATTGACTGTCAGCTTGCCTTACTTCCTCCTTTCCTCTCAGGTCCACTGCATGAACCTGTCAGATAAATGATAAAGAGCAAGAAAGGTAAAAGAAGCAACGGAAGATGCAATCTTGGAATTCGCCCTTTAACGTCATGTGACCTGTGATGGATCTTGTCCTTCTGCTAGCTGGGATCTCTGCCTTCTCCACCCTGCTTCTGAGTTGTGCCAGTCTTTCCACCGTATGCTAAAGTCATTTATCTCTGCCACTTTGCCTCTTGCAAGCCACACCTTAGTGAAATTTGCCTTGATTCTTCTCTGTTGCTCTTCGTCATCTGGCAAGGATTGTCTCGTCTTATGCCACTTGCAAGAGCCTGAATCAAGGTCCTTGTCTCTGCCCATACCTTTTCCCTTGGAGTTGAGAGTCCCTCGATAGTTCTGCAGCACCTTTCCTTCCAGATAGACCACAGTGTTGTCTTTCTGATCATTCCAAACCACATTTTTTGTGTCTTATGGAAATGAGCTGGGATGTTAGTCCATGGAAGGAGTTGGAAGGGATGGTCAGGGAGGGGAGTCGAGAATAGGGAATCCCAGATATCCGAGGCCCTTGCCCAATATTCCGTCGCCTCTCTACAGCGTATCAGGCAATGTAGCATATCTTCTGGTTCATTTTCTGAACATACCGTGCATAAATCTGAACTGTTAGGGTCATTCTTACTTCTTCTGATATGCAGCCACTGGTTAACCGGTCGAGCTACATATGAGATGAGCCATTGGAGGCTTCTGATTTTGACCGGACGGATTGACTTGAAAATTTTCCATGGTATTTGTGGGATCTGACTAGCGTCTTGACCTATTAACTTCTGCCATCTGTTCTTGATCGTTGAGTCAGGATCCTTTGTTTTGAGGAGTAAGTTGTATCCCGGTTTGACTGTGTATTCCTGAATGGAGACATTCATTTAGAGGCTTCTGCTTCTGTCTGATGTCCAAGCCCACTCTGCTGGATCAAATTCCAAGTCTCGAATCGCCGTTTCCATTCTGAAGATTGTTTTTGGCCATGATCCCAACACTCTTACTTTTCTGAGTACAAAAGGGTTTAGGACTGTTCTTTCCACCTCTTTATTCAGGATAGCTGGAAGGCCTTGCGTAGAGGGGGTAATTGGGCTTTTCTGAGTACAAAAGGGTTTAGGACTGTTCTTTCCACCTCTGTATTCAGGATAGATGGAAGGCCTTGCGTAGAGGGGGTAATTGGGAAAGAAGTAAACACCGCCAGGGTATCCGATCCTTGCTGTTTATGGGAGAATTGGTACACCCTTGAGGGGGTTAAATCCTGCACCCTCACTCCCCATTCACCCGATTTCCAGGTTGAGACTTTGCTCGACAACTCCTTCCAGCCTTCTGGATGCAGTTGATAATGGATTGTAGATTCTCGCCTCGTCGGTGACATCCTTTGAGCTGGGAGGCAAGTTCCTGTTCTGTTACCCAGTCCTTTTTCTCCTCGTTCCACAGATGGCTCACTTTCCAAACACCATGTTTGAGCGAAGGTGACATCCTTTGAGCTGGGAGGCAAGTTCCTGTTGCGTCACCCAGTCCTTTTTCTCCTTGTTCAACAGATGGCTCCCTTTCCAAACACCATGTTTGAGCGAAGATAGCCATCTCCTTCTTCTATGCTTAAGGGATAGTTGGTGATCACTTTCATCTCTCACCCATGGATTACCAAACAGAGGTTTCCTCACTACCTTGTTTGTGGATTTGAGTCTACCCACCTTCTTCGGCATGACTTCCCGCCATATCCGTAGTAAAGCAGTCCAATATGGTGTAGGGGGCCTAGCCCTGTACTTGGACTCCATTCCTTGGTCGTTACCCAGAACAGCCTGGACATGTTTGCTGTTGTGGCTGTAGGTGCTAGGCCCCTGATGCTATCCAAGGCCAGTTTATTCCATGTCGTACCAGGTTTAGTCAGTAGCTTGATTATCCATTTGACTTGTTAAGGCTTTGGTTTCCTGTTTGGGGTCTATGATACCAAAACCTCCTTTGGCTGGTTTCCTTGTGATGTAATGCCAGGCTATCTTTGGTATGCAATTCTCTTTGTTGGGGTCGCCGGACGACAACTATGCTCTTGCTTAGTTCCTTGATTGTATGATTCGGAACTGTCCAGATTGACGGTATATACCACACCATTGAGAAAATAGATGTATTGATGGCTAGTGCACGACCCATCAATGATGTGAATGTGTTACCCCATCTTCCCAGTTTGTTGATTTGTTTTGCAAGTATATTTTGGGCCATCTGAGGGGCAAAGCCGTCCTTTGTCAGCAAGATGCCTAGATATCGCATAGGGGTCTCCGGATTCTCCCATGTCATGTCTGCCTCGGGGACTTGAAGTTGGCTAATCTCCTCCTCCGATAGCCACCAGCCAATTGTTTTCTTCCAATCAATCTTCATTTCTGATGCCAATCTGAATGCTTCCATTGCTCTTTACTAAAGCGCTGAACGACGAGTCTGAAGCTCTTATGAGGACCGTGAGATCGTGTGCAAACATATTACTATCGGGAACTGTAGGTGGTGGGCTGTTCCTACATTGACCTCTGGTAGTCTGTGTCTGGAGGGGTCTTTGCGTAGGAATGAGGCTACCACAAAGAGGAAGATTGGGGGAGCTAGTGGGTCCCCTTGGAGAATTGATCGAGAGATTGGGTAATAGTTAGAGAGCAGACCATTGACTTGGACGCACCCTATGGCGTCATTATACAGAATGCGCACCCACTTCCTAAAATTCGGGCCCACTCCCATCTTTTCCATGCTTGCATTGAGAAAGGCCCAATTGACCTGATCATAGATCTTTTCAAAATCGAAAAAAAAATTGTTGTGTTTATCCTTTTTTCTCTGACTTTGTTGGCCATTTCGCTGAGGGTCAGTACGTTGTCCAGGATGTATCAACCAGGGATGAAGCCTGTTTGGTCTATATGAAAGCATTTGTCTGTCAGGTCTAGGATTCAAAAGCCAAAAGCTTCGGCTAGGATCTTGTAGGGAAGTGTTAGAAGCGAGATGGGCCTTTTTTGTACAACAAAGTGACCATGCTGCTGCTCAGTCGGTTTCCCAGTCCCCCCTTGAGCCAGTTGTCGTTGTAGAAGTTCATCAAATCGCCTTCTAGGAGCGGCTAGAACTTTTCCTAGAATTCTTTTGTCATCCCATCGATTTCTGGAGACTTATTGTTGTTCATATTTTGGACAATAAATTGCAGTTCTTCAATGGTGATGGGCTTGTCCAGAGCTTTTGCTTGTTCTTGAGATATCATTTGTTCTAGGTGTTGTAGCATCCTAGTCCGTGCCTCTCTGGTGCTGGGCGGAGTAGGCATAGGGGTCTTCGTGTGATAGAGCTCTTCGTAGAATTCCTTGGCTATGGTCATCATTCCTTCGCTGTCTATCACCGTTTCAGTTGGATTTGAGAGGGTTTTCAGACCTTCAATCGCATTGCCCTTGAGTTTGCTTTGATTCTTGCGAATAAGTGTTTTGTCATTGACTCACTTAGCTCGTATTCATTCAATCTGGCTCTTATTTGTAGTCCCTTTAGTTCCCACAATCTCCACATAGTGAGTTCTTCTCTTGCCTTTTTGAAAATGTTTCCGTAAAGTACAGAGGAGGGGTTATCAATCAGATTAGTCTTTGCAATCCTCAAGGCTGTCTCCAACGCTTGCTTCCTTTGTTTCTTGTCGACAGCTAAAGTCCTTGAGATTCTAGCAACCGTCTGTGGTAATGTGGAGTAGCTATCCTGAAACCACTTCCACCGGTCATGTATGGGTAGGTATGCGCCCCTCAAATTCTGCCAACAGTCCTGAACTCCTACCTGAAAAGTCCGACTTAGTAGGAGGGAGTTATTGAGTTTGTGAAAGTTGGACCCGTTTTTGACATACTGTTTGAAACTGATTATGAGTTCTATGGGTTTG